GAGTCAGTTCCAACTCATAGTGAGCCTGTGTAGGGTTTCCGAGGCCATAAATCTTTACAGGAGCATAAAACCTCATCTTTCTCCCACAGAACAGCTGGTATGTTCTTTTTGGCAACAAAAACAACACCATTCCTTCTCAATTTGCCATTCCCGTCATAAATCATATGATTGTCTGATTCAAAATGGCCAATACCAGTCAATTATAGCTCACTAATGCCTAGGATGGAGCTCTGGTGTGGCACTGTAGAATAAAGCACTGGGACCGCAAGGTCAGTTTAAACTACGAGGTTGGCAGTTTAAACTCACCAGCCACTCTTTGGAAACCTTATACAGGGTGGCCATATGTGTTGGAACCAACACAACGGCACTTAACAACAACAGCAATGCCTAAAATATGGATTTTTATGCATTCCATTTCATTTTTGACTTCCAACTTTCCTAGATTCATACTTTATACATTCCATGTTTTATTATTAATGGATGTTTGCAGCTGTTTCTTCTCGTTCTGAGTTGTGCAAATGAAGGTCCCAAAAACTTTGCACAGAGTTTCTTTCCTCTGGGAAACTCTGGTTGCTTTCATTTGTTATCTTGTCCTTTCTTATTTAAGTAATAGATTTTCTTTTTAGAGCACTTTTGGGTTTACAGCAAATTTGAGAATTCCCACGTATCCATTCTCCCCACTGCATACAACTTTCCCTACTCTTGATATGTGGACAGCATTGCTCCGAAGCTGATCAGACCCAGGTTTGAGGTTTTAGCAGGATTACTTCACAAATGTGGTCTGATCTGCAACCAGAGACATGTGTGCTGGGTTTTCTTCTAGATGGTGTTGTGATTAATCAGATGTTGAGATTATTAGCTTGCCCCTTCCTTATCAGTTCAACGGCAGTCCTTGGGGGTCGCTATCGAGGTCTGCCCTATGCCGGACGATCAGCTGGGATCCATTCTCAAAGCACAACTTTCCCTCATCGTCCCTGATTCTCTTCAGCAGACTTGTACAAGGGAATTTGCCTCCAGGCTGCATTCCTCCTTTGCCAGTCTTCACAATGAGTTGGGCTTGTTTGTTTTAATACTGTCATGGACTAACGCGTGGATTTTTGATTTTGATGTTTAGTGGGTTGTTTTTTAATGCTCATTTGTCCCATGTTTGTCTAACAACAAGCCCCTTGGGGTTCACTCCTGCATCATTTGACACCACCCTGGTAGTCTCTAGCAGCTTCCCTTGTTTTGTGATATCACAAGATGCTCCAGGCTGGTCCTGCCCACCTCTAGAGCCTGCATCCTATCTTGCAGGAGGAAACGCTATTTAGTGACCACAGTTGGCATCAGTGGTGTTTATTACAATTGTGATGTCATTTTCTCTCAGCACTTTCATTTCATGTTAATAGAAAATTGGAGTTTTCATTTTTTAAGAGAAAATATGTCATGAATTCGTAATGATATTTCCAATTCAAATGCAAGAGTGCTGAGCTTTTACTTTGGCTTTATGGTGTTTGAATCATTTTTCCTTGATGCTAGTATCTAATGACATTAACATTGTTGTTTTCTGGAGTCTCTGGATAGTGCAAATGGTTAATGTTAACTGAAAATTTGGTTGGAGATTTGAGTCCTTGGAAGAAAGACCTGGCGATTGACTTCTGAAACATCAGCCAGTGAAACCCTGTGGAGTGCTCTGACATGCATGGGGTCACCAGGAGTTGGAGGTGACTCGATGGTAACTGCTTATTTCAGATCTATAATAGCTTCAAAGGAGCTCTGGTCGCGTAGTGGTTACAAATCGGGCTGCTAACCTCAGGGTCAGCAGTTTGAAACTATCACTGCTGCACGGGAGAAAGATGAGGCTTTCTGCTCCCATAAAGATTTGCAGCCTCGGAAACCCTGTACAGGATCGCTATGAGTCAGAATCGACTCCACGGCACATAACAACATAATAGTTTCAGGGTAACATCATCTATAGCCCCAAGCCCCACCCACTGCCATTGAGTTGATTCCTACTCATCGAAATCCTATATAGGACAGAAAATCTTTACAGGAGCAAATTGGCTCATCTTTCTCCCACGAAGCAGCTGCTGGGTTTGAGCTGCTGACCTTGTGGTTAGCAGCCCAACACGTAGCCCACAAAGCCACCAGTGCAACATCAGCCATAACAGAAAAGAATTTAAGAACTTTTGCAGCTCATACCATCCTTGGGACTCACCTCACCCATGTGGTTACATGAAAGTTTCCTTTCAGTATAGATTAACTGGCTTCCTTTTTTTTTTTTAAATAAAGCTTTTATTGTGAATTGAGTGATAGTTTACATGGGGGAATATTGGATTTGCACTCATCATATCATGTGTCATTTCATTGCAATGATTACAATCCCCTCCGTGCATCATCATTCAACAGTATTGACTTCTGTTCCCTCTGTTTTGTTTGTTTATATACACAAAACACTCAGGAATATATAATCATTTAAACAACCAAAGGGCACATTCTGCAAACCTGCTTCCTGGCCACCAGCACACAGTCTTTCTCTTTCCATGAGTCTAGAGTCCTCAGCTGCTCTCTCTCTCCATATCTTCATCTCTGCCTCCATCCCTGGTGTCGCTGCTTCTCTGGTTAGGGTCCTACATTCCACTCATGCTCTTCTCCCTTGATGGTCCTAGGGTCCTCTGTACCTGGAATGTAAGATTAACTACTCCCCACTTTATGTTACAAAACGTCTACCTTTACAGTTGTGACAATCGCAATTCATCATGATAACGATTACTCACTATTGAATCATAAGAATCTTAACCCCCACTGGCTTCCTCTTGTGCTTAATTTTCAGGGATAGTTCGTGGTTTTGTTTTAGGTCGTTTTCGTAATAATGCAAAGCATTTACATAGTTCCAAGTTCAAAGCCTGTAAAACAATACATTCAGAGAGGAGTCTTGCTTCCCTATTCCCCCCTCCCCTGGACAGAGCACTCCTTTTACTAAATTTTGGCTTCTTAAGTTACCTGTTGCTGTCAAATTGACCCTGACTTCTGGCAACCCCATGTGTGTTAGAGACGAACTAGCACCAAAAGATTTTCACTGGCCGATTTTTCAGAAGTAGATTGCCAGGCCTTTCTTCTGCGGCATCTCTGAGTGAACTCAAAACCACCAACCTTACTGTTAGCAGCCTAGCATGTTTATCATTTGTAGCATAATTTTTTTTGTTTCTTAAATGTTTTATTGTGAATTATGTGATAGTTTACATGGGAGAACATTAGTTTTACATTCATTCTATCGTATATATCGTCTCATTGCCATGGTTACAATCCCCTCCATGCAATGCTTCCCCCGTGCCCCCCAGGTCTTCACACAGTCGCTCTCCCTCTCTAGATCTAAAATCTCCAGCTGCTCCATCGCTCCACGTCATCATCTCTGGCTCCAGTTCAGGCATCACTGCTTCTCTGGGTAGGGTCCCGCTCTCTGCTCTTCTCCCTTGATGGTCCTAGGGACCTCCGCTCCTAGACTGAAAAGTCAATCACGCCCCTCCTTGCTATAAAACGTCTACATTTACATTTCCAACCCTCACAATCAGTCCTGATAACAATTATTCACTATTGTATCACAAGAGACCCGTCTGCATTTCATTGCATCAGCCCCACCTAGTCAGATTGAATACTACTCACTGGAGATTCTACCTTCCTCCAGGCCCTCTGGATCTAGGTTCCCTCTTGAAAGCTTGTAAGCCAATCACTTCTTGCCTTTGTAGCTTCCCTACCCCCCATTTTGGGTAGCCAATGTCCAAGTTGCCCATCCCCGTCCACTCTGTGTGTGGAGAGGGTGGGAATGATTCTTGCTGTAAGGACTTGTTCCCTTTTTTGAGCTACTGCTTCCATAGGTATAGGTGTAGCATAGATTTTAAAATGTATTCATTTATGTTTACTATAAGGATGTGTTGGGGGAAGGGTGCATATTAATAACCTTCCTTTCTCATAATAAACTACATGCTTGATTCTGCATTTATAGAAGTCCTTGGTGTATTGGGACATTTCCCTTTCTTTGATGTTGGTGGTAAGGATTTTCCCAGAGGGTCATATGCTCTGGCCCTGATGGAGGCCTCCACAATGGTTTTCTCCAGGAACCCAGGCCACCCCTTCTCAGCTGTGATGTCTTGTCACCTCGCTTTCTCAGGTGGGCACGTGTGTTGGCAGGGGCAGCTCCTCGAGGCAGCACGAGGATGGCCTCCAAGCGCATCAGCCAGGAGACCTTTGACGCAGCTGTGCGTGAGAACATTGAAGAATTTGAGATGGGACCAGAAGAGGCCTTGAAGGAGGCCACAGAGCAGTTTGAGTCGCAAGGTGCGCACTGGTGAAGGCTCCTGTCACTGGGGGAAGAGTTGGGAGTCGAGGCCAACTTGGGTTAGCCATGCCCATCGCACCCAGTGTGGGAGCTGGGGACACACAGGCCCTCAGCCTCACCCGTTCCCTGTATCCACTCCCACCACCCACCTAGCCTCACCAGACATTTGGGGACGTCGTTTCAACTTGTATTTCCTTGAAGAGGCTTCCACTGTCCCCTCTCAGGATGGTACAGCCTGGCTCAGAGCCCCAGCACACCCGGGCCAAAGGGCGATGTCAGTCTATGGTCTACAGGAGACAGGGTGCTCAAACAGGGTCATGGCAGACACTTAAATGGGGAGCTATTTACAGTAGGTGTGGTCAGGGTTGGGAAACCAACGGCAGGAACCGTAAGGGGCAGGGGGCAGGGAGCCAATGCCTACCTGAGACCTGCAGGGAGCTGGAGCTCTAAGTGAGGATCCCCCCAACAGGTGCAGGCCCCCAGATCTGTACGGGACAGTCCAGGCTGGCCCTGCAGCTGGAAGTTGGGAGAGGACACCTGGTCCTCTGCCCTTTGACTTTGCATTTGGCTCCCCTACTAGCCAAACTCAGAAGCCTGAGGGAGAAAAGGCAGCAGTAGAGCCCGAGAAGTCAGAGACTGGCCTCCTGGGTACAGAGGAGACAGAGGCTCTGGAGAGGTGTTAGAGGACCACTAGAAGGCTTCGGGCACGGGGAGACTTCCAGTGGGTGTTCTGGAGAAGTGGGACTAGAGGGGGTAGCTAGTGCCAAAGGTCCGAGGGAGGCCAGGGGTCACCCTCTCTCCCTGAGCTGTGGTCAGCCGACCTCGATAAGTGACGGCCTCGCTGCCTCTCTGCTTGGCTGTCCCAGTGTGGAGGGCCTGCTACACCCATGTAGACACAGAGCTGGGACAACTCCCCACAGGTTCCTGGAGCAGGGATCCCAGCTGGGGAACATGGGGTGTGACTCTGGTAGTGATGAGCCCTTGTTTTGTCTCCCCTAACTTCCCGTCAGGGGTTGATCTAAGCAACATCGTGAAGACGGTGCCCAGAGTGTCTGCAGATGGACCCCAAGAGCCAGAACATGACATCCTTCAGGTAGGGGGAAACGACCACCTGGGCTGGGCCTCTAAACTCAGCAGAAGGCTCAGCAGGAGTATGCTTCCAGTGGTCCCTGAGCCCCCTGAGGGCACCACAGAGCTGGTGCAACAGAGAGGTGGGCAAGGGACAAAGGGGAGGGGGGACATAGCAAAAGTGGTTGTATATGTGGTCCCAGCTGTCTACTGTGCTTGGACTCCTGGTGTGGCACTGTAGGATCAGTACTGAACTGTGAACCCCAAGGTCAGCAGTTCAGATGCACCAGCTGCTCCTCGGAAACCCTATACAGGGTCACTATGAGTCAGACAGACTCGGTGGCACTTAACAACAACAGCTGTCTATTGACAGCCTGTAAGGTGAGTGTCCTAATTTCTGAGTTAGGTTGGTGAGGGCAGCACGGGTGTCACCCAGGAAGGTAGATCTCCTGGGAGCTGGGTGCTCTCTGTAAGGTTATCTGTCCAACTCAGTACATGGCAGATAGGCCTGATGCTTGTTGAAAATGGACTGTGGGCCCAGTTCTGACTGAGCACCTTCCTTATGTTCCCACAGCCAGGGTTGGACTGTCATCCCCATTTTACAGAGGGGGACATCAAGATCCAAAGAGAAAAGATTGGCATGGCAAAGAGTGTGGTGATGGGTGCATGGGAGTGCAGCGCTGCCTCTTGCTGCCACAGCCTCCTCTCTATCCCCTGCCATGCAGAGGCCTGGTGAAAATAGTATTATTTCCTTTTGCCTTTCTGAAATGCGTAATAAGGATGAACTATATTGGCTATGTAAGGAGCTCTGGTAGCGTAGTGGTTACGAATCGGGCTGCGAATCGCAAGGTCAGCAGTTCGAAACTACTGGCTGTTCCTTGGGAGATAGATGAGGCTTTCTGCTCCCATAAAGATTTACAGCCTCGGAAACCCTGTACAAAGTCTCCATGAGTTGGAACCGACTCCATAGCACATAACCACCACCACCACCATATTGGCTATGTAATTATTCGTTGTGGCTCTCTCAAGCTTGTGTTGTGGTAGATTTTCTGTTGAGGTAGTCCTCCATTTTTCTTTATTGATTTGTCAACACACTTTATATTGGAAGGCTCTTGGTAACAATAGTAGCTGGGCTCACTGAGTGCCTCTCAAAGTGCTTGGCACTGTGTTAAATTCTTGAAACTGCTGCCTCCATCTGAGAGCGGCCCATTTTGCTAATGAGGAGACCAGAGCTTCCCTGGAATAAGCAGCCTGTAGAAGGTCACAGCGAGTGAGGGGCAGAGGTCAGTGGTCAGTCCAGGACCCAGGACCCTCCCTCCATAAAAGCAAACTCTGAGTCACTCTGATGCCTCCCAGCAGCAGTGCAGGTGCCCTGTGATGGGGGTGTCTTACATATGGCCTTTCTGGTCTTGGAGATATCATTCTGCCAAAAATGATTGGCTAGGGCCATAATCTTGCAAGGGATTGCTCAATATACTATGCAAGTAGGGTGTTTAAAACCATCTAGTAGGATTAAGTGACCCTGCAGGAATTGGTTAATTACTGTATATTGAATGATTTGGTCTACCGAGGGAACTGGTCAGTTTGTGGTCTGTCTGGGAGGCCTTAAAATTGAATGTAAAGGTCAGTCCCACAGAGGTTGAGGGAGGCCATCTGCCATCAAGAAGTGCCCAGAGTGGAGCATGTCCTTTGGACCCAAGGCCCCTGGATTGAGATCTGCAGACAGCTGCAGTGTGTTGGCAGACCATGGAGTGAGAAAGCTGAGCACCTTCGGGCAGGAGGCTTGCTGATGGAGTGAGCGGACTCCAGACACTGGTCACCAGAGCTCAAGTGCTGTGATGCTTGGCCTGCGCAGAGCAGAAGCTGACAGCAAGAGAGAGGGGCAGCTGGAAGATAAGGGCCTGCCTTTAGGCACAGCTGAGGAGGAGCTGCGAGTCACCCTGGTTGAAAGATATCCTGATTGATAAACTGTATCCTGCCTTCTGAGTTGTAGTTTGTTACTTCCAAGTTGATCTTGATCCTGAATTGTACATCCCCAGCAGACCGCATAGTCAGGAGTTTGATCCGTGAGTTCTGTGTGGTTACTGCAGTGACTTAATCAAACCCAGAAGTAGAGAGTGCCCTGGGAAGGACGATGGGTGTCAGAAACAGTGACGAATTGACAGAGTGGCAGTATGTCTGACCCCCACCTCACAGGAACCAGCTCTGGGCTGACCCTGATTCTCCTCTCTCTTTCTGAGACTACTCCAAGAGACCGTCCCTTGTTTGTGTTTACCCTTGGCTCATTTTCTTTCTTAATTTGACTTTTAAGTTTAATTTTTCATTACAGAATAAGAACATACATACATTCTTGGCATAAAAGATTTAAGCTGGACTCAGGCACTTACAGTAAAAACGACAAGTCCCTTATCCCGAGTTTGCATTCTGCCAGCCATTCTTGCCTCCCAGTGGAGCCAACCCCCTCCTCACACACACACCTGCCCCCGTGCACTATTCCCCCCTGTGTGGGTGTAGGGGCTCAGGGGTGTGAAAGTGACTCACTGTTGAGGGAGAATTCGAATCTGGGGTGCTTCTTGAAAGGAATCTGCTAGAGTCATAAACTATGTAGCTAAAGGCTTGTGGAAATCAATCTAAGTCTTGAAGCTCTTGCAGTAAAAAGTTAGTCAGACCACTTAATCTATGTGGGAATTTATGGGCTCAAAGCAGTCAGCCACAGTGAGTAGAGGGACCCAGGTTCAAGCACAGCTAACAGAGTTGGTCTTTGCATCTGTCGTCAAGTCAACCCCAACTCATGACAGTTCCATGTGTATGTCAGAGTAGAATTGAGCTCTGTAGGGTTTTCAATGGCTGAGGTTTTAGAACTAGATGGGCAGGGCTTTCTTCTGAGGTACCTCTGGGGAGCTTCAAACCTCTGACCTTTCAGTTAGCAGCCAAAAGTATGAACTATTTGTACCACCCAGGGATGTCACCCTACATCCACCATTTTAGCAAATGTCAGCTCCTTAGCAAGCAGGTGTGGTCTCAAGCTCACAGGGTTAACAAGCTCATGTAGAGACTCCATTTTAGCATGACAACCCATTCCCAACCAAGGTGAGATTCCCCATCAATTTGATGGGTACAGTGTGCAGATACCTGTAATGTTCTTTCTCCCCATCATATGACAAACAACGGCAGAATGGTTGTGAGTCCAACAATGGGCGTTCTCAAAGGCACTGAACCTCACATGCTTTTCCCAGTTTTTCAGAAAATTCCTGTTACAGTGCCATGGCCTTTGGTTTTAACTTACTTTTTAATACTCTGCTGAGCCACTGGCTACTAACCAAAAGGCTGGCAGTTTGAACTCACCCAGAAGTGCCTCAGAAGAAAAGCCTGATGATTGAAAGGTTGACAGTTTGAGCCCAGTGGAGCCTCAGAAGAAAGACTGAGCAATCTGCTTTCAAACGATCACAGCCAAGAAAACCCTCTGGACCTCAGTTCTACTCTGTAACACAAGAGTTACCCCAAGTCAGAATCGACTTAACAGCAGAAGTTTGTGAGGGGTTTTGTGTGTGTATTAGTTTGGTTTGCTCAAGCCATCAAACTCCCTTAATGTCAGGTTCACAAGTCTGAAGTTTGGGGTGGGTCTGCCGATAGGCACCTGCATTACAGTCTTCTGGGCAGTGATTTCTGCAGAACCACCTGCTATCCCAGGGCAGAACCGGGTCATTTCACTAGCACTCAGGCCAAGGCTCCTCAGGTGACGCATATGGAATGGCAGCTAGGATTCTCTGCACTTTTCAAACTCTCTTCTCTCTTTCATATGAAACTTTAAGTAATTTAAACTGTTTTACTATAACTGTGGTTAAATTGCTGTCAAGTTGATATTTCCAATTCAAGATGAATCCCCAAGTGTGCTCCATAGGGTTTTCCATGCTATGACCCCCCCCCCTTTTTATTTTTCTATTTCTCAAAGAGAAATGTTTGTCTTTCCTTTTTAAAAAAGTTTTTATTGTAAATTATGTGATCGTTTACATGGGAGAACATTAACTTTACATTCATCCTATCGTATATCATTTCATTGTCATGATTACAATCCCCTCCATGCATCATCTAACAGCCAAAGGGTACACCCCAAAAGCCTGCCCCTCAGTCGTTAGCACACAGCCCCTCTCCCTCCCTGGGTCTAGAATCCCCAGCCGCTCCATCTCTGGCATCACTGTTTCTCTGGGTAAGGTCCCACACTCTGCTCTTCTCCCTTGATGGTCCCAGGGACCTCAACTCCTGGACTGCAAAGTCAATCACTCCCCTCCTTTTGCTACAAAATGTCTACCTTTATATTTCCAACCCTCACAATCAGCCCTGGTAACAGTTATTCACTATTGTATCACAAGAGACCTATCCCCGTCTCCTTTTATCAGCCCTGCCTAGACAGATTGTATACTACTCACTGGAGAGTCTACCTTCCTCCACACCCTCTGGATCTAGGCTCCCTCTTGAAAGCTTGTAAGCCAGTCACTTCGTGCCTTTGTAGCCCCCCCTCCCGGCCCCCATTTTGAGTAGCCAATGTCCAAGTTGCCCATCCCTGTCTACCCTGTGTATGGAGGGGTGGGAATGAT